TGCACAAGATCGATCAGACCGAGTTTCTACGCTGCCCTTAGCCCCAACTGGGGGAACCTAGAGTTGAAGTACTATTTTTTTTCCAGGCTAGTGTCTTTCACAAAAGATTCCAATTTATGTATATTTTTTATTAAGTTGCGTAAAAAATACGCTTTATTGTACAATTGCCCGTAAGGACCTTGAAATTTCAAGCAAATATGCCATATAAACAAACGAGTGTGGCTTTATCTACGCCCCTCAGAGATTTGCCACATTTGTCTAAATGGCTCACGCTGTCAGAAAAATCCTTATCCCTAAGGAATTGTTTCTATTATAATGCCGGCGGTTTTAAACGTAATACGAAATAAAATGTCGCACTGCTTGCGAGTTGAAATTCATAATATTCCATCGGTTAAAAGATGGTATAAAATACAACTTTCATTTGTTTCTCTGAAGAGACAAAATTTGATATTTAATTTATGTACAGCATACATACTAATTAATATAATATATATACTAACTTACATACTACCTTAAACTCACAACAATTTTTTTTACATAAATATAAAACCAACTACATCTCTCAGTAATTCCTAACCCGACACAAATATATCCTATTCTGGTGCAGAACTAAGAAAACTGTTAAGAAGCGGAGTCGGTGACTGCTGGCGGTCCTCCGCTCAGTTCGTGAGACAGTAGGTCATCCGGGATCTGAAATACTTTTCAGGCACATACAGTCTAAGCAATTCCGGAAGCAGACCTATGCTATCTGTTCTACCTCTTAAAACATTCAATACAAAGTAGAGTTTGCCGCGCACTACCACTATGTGGAAACAGCTGCCCACTGAAGTATTTCCGAACCAATTCGACTTCCTTCAAGAAAAGAGCGTACCAATCCTTAAAAGGTCAGCAACGCTCTTGCGGCCTCTGGCATTGTGAGTGTCCATGGGCGAGGTATCACTTAACATCAGGTGAGGCTCCTGCCCGTTTGCGTTCTGTTACATAAAACAATATTGCCAATTTTGTGTTTAAGTTAAAGGTAAAATATGTTTGTATAAATATTTTTATAATACCTATTTAGTACCAAGCTGGGTCTCAATACACGGTATATACCTTGCCCCTACGGAACGTCGCAATATCCTAGGGATTCTATTATTCTATATAGTTTAGTGAAAAGAAACTCTGTAGCACACATACAAAAACTCAAAACTTTTGTATTTACAAGAAAGAGCCTACCAAAGAAAGAGCCCACCAAAGAAAGAGCCCACCAAAGAAAGAGCCCACCAAAGAAAGAGCAAATGGTAATTAACTTATTTAGAAAATAGTATGTGGTATCTTTCACCTACCTACATCTTCCCTTTGCCACAACTTTTAAAACTAAGCGACTAATCGAGTTAACTATCGCCTTCTGGTCTAATGTACTGACACATAACGCAATAATCTCGCTTTGATACAGCTAATGGAATAAAATATGCGTTTATACTCAATTTACTCTGTGGGGACATTCAGAACTAATAATATTAAGGGTAACAAAATTTATTTATAATCTACCTATTATTTATTATTCTACTTCGTCGTAATCTTCTTTAATAAACTAAGAATAAAATATAAACAAAATAAGTAAACGTAAAACCTAAACCTGTTTATAACTAATAACAAATAATACAATTCTTGTGAATTCAGACCGTGTGCATCTAAATATATCCGTCTCACATGCAATAATATTCAGGGTGCGCAAGACACGCGTAAATATTGCTTCCCTGAGTAAATTCGTACGCGCTCGCGGCACTGCAAGCAATTGCGACCGCTTACCACGCCGAGTGTGATTATTTGGCACTCGCAGCCCCAGTCTCTCCAATATTCCCGCATTATATATTCTATCTATAAGGACCTAGTCCCTTTTTACCTCTAACTTGTTGCATCCTACGATACCCTAGACTAACAAAGTAATACTATGCTGACTTATTTTTCTACAATAATAATAATAGTTTAAACTCAAATGGTGTTTATTAAGTTTATTATTCTGGCCCTATGTGTGTATTATGGCACTGAAGTTATATACCGAACCGATTCGATTAAGGGTCTTTCAAAAAGAGCGTACCAATTTTTGAAAGGCCGGCAACGCAAATAGGAGCCTTCTGGAAATGTGAGTGTCCATGGGCGGCGGTATCAATTAACATCAGATGTGCTTCCTGCTCGTTTGTCTCCTATTACATTAAAAAAAAATGTGTCCCATATTCAAGAAATAAAAGCTAAGATTAAAATGGGTTATTTAGTTCTAAAAGAACTAGACAGCGTCGATCCAATAAACTAATAAAAGCGACAGCTGTTATTCGAATGAAACTGTTATTTCCGTGAACTGCGATTGACCAATTTCCTTTTAACTTCGTTCTGGAACCTTTTAAGAACTTTTTATTAATTTTCTAATAATATATTCACACGTTATTTATATCGTTACTATATTCAAAATTGAGCAATTATATAATAACACTATATAATGACAATAACAGGTTTCTACTGTCGCACTTTGTACCTATGACCTTACATTGTAAACGAATTATTATGCTTTGTTTATTTTATTCTCTTTATCTTTCATTCATTAGTAACAATTTTCTTAACTAAAAACAATAACTAACCTTAAAATATAATAACTAAAATATATTATTAAAAGGAGTCCCTTTAGGCAAGGTTCCGAAGATACTGGCAGCGTTCCCCCTTTGAATAGCTAGACTAAGTCTTTGTCCGAGGTAGCTGCCGGCTCTTCGGTCTCATTTTAAGTGCGGTCATTAGTTACTTTATTTTTATTAAAGTACTATAATATTATTGTTATGAAATCAATGTTTCGGTTGACGGAGAAGTTGTGACAAATTTGTTTTACCGTTACATAAATTATATATTTTTATAAATAAATAATGAATAATTGTCAGTTAAATGAATCCAAAGCCTAGCTTTATTAACCACAACTACCAAATACCGCTGGTTATTTGTTAAGATTGGGCGTTAAAATAAAATCTTAGGTGTGAAATATGGTACAAGCAATTTACCCTAAATTAAGTTAAGAATCATTTCGTTTAATTCGGCAGTTGGCTTGGCAAAAATAGTGGTTGAAAACTTACGTAATGGTTCATTAGTCTTTTAAGTAGTCTACAACTTCAAAAGTCAAAAATCATTTATTCATATAGGTAACACAATGTACACTTATGAACATCAAAAAAATATACATTATATGCCTCTAATTCTACATTTACTGCCAGTTCTCAAATCAAGGGTGTAGAACGGAAGAGAAGAACTGGCAATTACCTCTCCGCCACTCTTTTTAGTCCCCAAGTTTTTTGTTTTACTCAACGTTTGCTGCAATCATTACACCATGTTCCTTAAATTCTTATCCTTAAACTTCAGGAACTGAAACTGAAATAACTTAACAAATAATATAAAATAATATAACTTAATAAATATAAAATAATAGTGTAATAAACTAAGAATTAAACTAGCATCTATCTTCTATTAATATATTAATTGTCTTAAACAAAGGTTTAGGATTTTAAATATAAAATAATTTGGTAGGAAAGATCGTCAAACACATGAAATACTAGATTTAATCATTATCTATAGCAAGTATAATTAAAATTAAATTCAATAAAGGCTGTTTCAGAATACTTTAAAATTACTGTACTACCAGTACCTATTACGCACGTCATCATTAAATAATTGTATAAATTTTTTCACCTTGCAATCAATAATTGTTAACCAAAATCTTATCAGATTTTGTCAACGGACATAAAATGCTTTGATTAATTGCACTTAATAGTAAAATTAATAATCTTATATTTGGGATAATTTAATGGGTAACATTAAGTACCGTAAATAACTGAAAGTGATTTTGATGAATTGCCTAAAACACAACTTGGGGGAACTCATCAGAAACGTCACTTATAAATCACGCTGGGAGGATTATTTTGATCTACAGTTGTAATAATTTAAAACCATCTGTTTTAGACATTTAGGTCTCACGTTTAAGGCTCATTAGGCAGAGTCTATAATGTAGCCATTAGAGAATCTTGAACTGAATAGTTGCATGTTATTTTAAGAAATTCATATTCGTGCCTTACAGTTTTGACCAGCAAGTGTCAACCATGGTGTGTTTAATCCTGGCGAACACCAACAGTTATTTCTATAAAACAATATTGAAATTACCAATATAGAAAAAAACCCAGATCTTTATAGAATATATAAGAGAAAGGAGGAGAAGATATCTCTGCCTCGCACATATCTTATCTTATGTGTAGTGTATATAGGTATATTGCACCCTACTACTTCTTGTGTTCACAAGGTATACCCGTGTATCCACTGCCAGAATAAGGACCAATATTTTCATTGTTAATATTTGGTGTGCGTATAATTCAATGTTTCTTTGTTTAAAGTGTTTTATTAAATATCACCAAGTCTCTGAATATCAGAATTTCTGGTGTATGAATTCTTCTAAAAAAAAAAAAACATGGCGATTAAAAAGAGTGGCGGAGAGTTTATTGCCAGTTCTTCTGTTCCGTTCTACGCCCTTGATTTGAGAACGTAAAATAAATAAATGTAAAATTAGAAGCATTAATATGTATTTCTTTACTGACAAGTCATAAGTGTACAATGTGTTACCCATATGATTAAATGATTTTTGAATTTTGGAATCTACTTCTCTACACTCTACTCTTCGGGAGGATATCAAATAAGACCGGCAAAGAAATTATCAAAAAATGGGCAGAAATTTGTCTGTTACTTGCCCGACAGAAAGATGTATTTTCATATTTCATGTTCCTTATATTTACTATTTTGTTATATTGAAATGTTGAGCGAAAGTTAAGTCACTATAAGACTACATGAACAACAATATGTTAAAACGGCCTGATAACCGTGTCCATACAAATCGTGTCATTGTTGTGCTAATGACCAACACGAGTAAGAATACCATGAATATTAACAAATATTAATTACTGTCAAGAGAGACGTTGAAAACCGCGCTATAATACAACTTATACATAATGCTGACGATCGTCTTCTAACATTGAAATAACAAAAGATTCATCAGGGAAATTTTGTACCGTCTTCAAGTTAACATGTGAAAAAGATCTTCAAATGTTAAATTTTTCAGAAAATTTTTACTTAAAAAATTCTAGTCTTGGCTAACAATAATTTTGTAAATGGAAATCTATATCTTTATCTTACCGATTCTTCAGTTAATATTAAGCGGAAATAAAATAAAATAACATTATTTTATAAAAAGCGTCTAACGATTTACGATCTTTCCATAAATAATTGTATCCGGAGGGTAAATGTGTAAATAATATAATTCCATAAATAAGACGAAGATTTGTATAATTATATTCCTATATGGCTTTTATTTATTTATTTACACTTCGTTACCATAATATTATATTTTATATTTGACGACTCATTGGTCTAGTGGTTAGCACCCCTGACTGCGAAACCATGGGTCCCCCGGGTTCGATCCCCGGCTGAGACGAACATCGATGTGATGAGCATTTGATGTTGTGCTTAGGTCTTGGGTGTTTAAATATGTATTTATATATGTCTATCTATCTATAAAATGTATGTATATCCATTGCCTACCCATAACACAAGCTTCACCAGCTTAGCCTGGGACTAGGTCAATTGGTGTGAATTGTCTTTAAAAAAAAATAATAATAAACATCATACATATAAAAAACAAAAGAAAAGCAGGTTACCTACATAAGTTATTAGGCAACGGGCGGCCTTTAAGTATATGTCGTCATAAAAAATACGCTTTCCTCACTATGTTTGTACACAAATGTGTTTCTATTTATGTATAACAAAACCAATAGATATAACTTTCCGATCCCCGGTAAGCCTAGAATACTAATACAATGTAAACTAGTTAAGTCGATTTTAATAGCAGCTTAAGTAACATTGTAATCCATTAGTTTCTGTTTATTATTCAGATTGAAATTTGCTAAACTTATTTAGTACTAAACAACAATCGCTGCAAAATCGAGTTGAAGAGTTAGCGGTGAAATAAAATGTATTAATAATATTGTATTAACTTAAAGTAAGTTAAAAAATAATTTATGTATACCGGAAATACTTAATATGGAGCAACAAATCTTATACTATTGCTTACCCACATATCCATGAATGCCGACGTCGTGGTATCGAAGCTAAAGTTAAAGCGAAGGGTGGTAAAGCCGCGGGAGGATCATCTTCGTCCTGATCTGCTCCACTCACGCGCACCTCCGGAATTCGTAGATGTCTTCCACTCATTATAACACTACACTATACCACGCATAGCTCCCAAAAACACTGTAAAGTATTTTTGACAGTTTTGAAAATGGAATGTGTTGTCTTTATCTTCTATTTGAAATAAGTTAAATATAATCGGAATGTCTATAAAGTTGATACTACCGAAGATCCTCCCAGAGATGGCGCTTTCCTCATTAAAATCAAAGTGCAAAGGCACTTTGCATCCGAAAACAATGATTTTGGAACTTGGCCCATATATTTATTTTAAAAACTAGGTTTAACAAATTTTTTATCTGCAAAATTCAACTAAACTTTTTTTTATTCATAATTTATTTATGCATTGTAAAACATTCAAAAGGTATTTGAACAACGACTAATCTAATTATAATTAACCTTAAATCAGTTTAGAAGTATTTCTAGTGCCATGAAAGTCATAATAACCAATACTTTTACGTTATGACGCAAATAAATAAAAATAAAATCAATAATTTACTATACTACAAGACTAAATTTTTGGAAAATTTTGAGCTTTGATAAACTTATTTAAATATACGTTGTAACAATAAAATATGGGGTTTCATTTGTGATCTGAGTATGAAAGTGATTATCATTTTATGGCTTCTAACAGCCGTTTTAATCTCGGGTTTGTTGAGATCAGAATATAATTCCAATAATTCATAGTACTTGTATACTTAAATCTCTTTTGTTAAGCAAATTAAATAGTATATTTGTTTATTTTAATAGAAGGGTTGCTACAGACTAATGCCAATTAAGATACCGCATCTGACCTAGATACCAATTTGAATACGAGAACATTTCAAGCTCCTCCTATCCATTCTCTATTAAGAGTGAATGTGTTAATTATTATGAATTATCGCAGCTAAGTTTAGATTCATTATAAAGCCTTTATTATATATTTATAAAGAACTGTTTTTGTCAATGATTAATCTCATATGTTGGTTTCATTTGGAAAGATCCCTTGGAGTTCGGAAAATGATTTCAGCGTGACTTAGCGAATTTTTCCACTCACCCTGATATATGGAAAACACTTCGATTGATCCCACTCGAACAAAAGTTGGACTTAATTTATGATATAATAAAAAAAAATCATATCATGAGATGAGCGTACTTCCTATAGGGCTGTAAACGCAATTGCAAGCTTAGTGTTGCAAGAATTCATGGATTGCGTTTTGCACTTCAAGAGCCACTTCCTTACTTAATCGGAGGTAGAGGTATCCCACAATAAAAATATATTTGCTACTATAATTTACTATATAAATATAATATACGTATACACAATATGAAATGTACGACCAACCAGGCTCCAGAAGATAAACCACTCCTTATATGGAAATTGTATTCGTTTTTACAACAAACTCCCAAGCGAAATTAGAGAATTATCACTAATATATATAATAAATCCAAAGCCCTTGTTAAACGTAATAAATCAATTAAGCTTTTTATAAATTTGACGAATATTTAAATGATCCTAATCCTTGGGATTGATTTGCTCCAGTTTAAACAATTTGTATGACTCAAAACTTAGCAATTAAAAAGAGTGGCGGAAAGTTTCTTGCCATTTCTTTTTACTCGCTCTACCTTGACTTGCGAACTGGTAGTAAATGTAAATTTACAATTAATTTAACTTATTTTCTGACGTTCATAAGTGTACTTGTTTACCTATATGAATAAAGTTATTTTGAGTTTGAATAAACTAGAAAAATGCCAAAATTTGAGGGCAAACTTAAACCATATTTTTACAATGACCTTTGAGCCATTGATTTAAAGCTATAAGCAACAGGTTAAAACTTAAAATGATAGAAACGAGCCAAGTTTTCTATAATTTGTACGTGTATACTTGCTGTGTAGCATCTGTTGGCTCCTTGCCTAATAGGTCTACGCTGAGTGTGACCCTCGGGCTAGTAGAGATATTTTACTTTTATTCTCATAATGGTGACACGAAATGTAAAAATAGAATGAATACAAACAAATTAGAATTAGGAATAAGTGTAGTTCAAAAACCTCTACATCAGGCATTTGGCACACATTGGTGACACACTTTACTGTCATTTTTTACTGGATAATTAGTCTTCTATTCAAATCGATTTTTCTGGTGATCCGGGCAATTGCATTTAATGAACCCAGATCTTGACTATTCTAACGCAGTTGGTATATATAAGATTTCATAGATTAGCATTATAATAATTATCTGATGATAAATGTGGGCGTGAATCCCGCTTACATCTGGGTTCTATTAAATTAAAGTAATAGTTTGTGTTCTAACTAGGTGATAATTTCGTTTCAAAGTTATTAAAGACATTTTTGGGAGTAAATAAACGTATTATAATTGAATAGGGAAACCAAACCTTACGACATAGATTTAAGTTTATTTTCAATACGTCTAGATAAGAAAATGGGATAGAATCGTACGCCTAATAGAATTTAACGTCTAAACTGCAAATAGGCTACATATTTGCATTTCGGGTCGACTTATCCTTTTCCTAAAATAAAGGCTTATTTCGTTAAATTCGGAAGTTAATTTCACTGAGGGTTTTATAGCTTTATTTAAACTTAGTAATTTCCCTTGATGAAAAGCAATAAGTATAAAGTGAGAATATTAAAGGAAACGAACTGGTTATTAATTTTAATATACTTTAAGATATATTTTATTGGTTTTCGATCGTGAAATGGTTCGGAGGCCTTAACACTGATATTCAATGTCGTTCCGAGGCAATAAAGTCTAGGGCGGAGGTAGGGCGGGCGGTATAATCGCAAATCGCGACCTTTGCGTGAGCGCCTGACGGACACAGAACACGCACGCTGTCACAGCATGCTAGTACAAAAGTGACAGGCGTTATTAAATCTTTTAAAGTGAAGTGAATCCAATTATATCATTAGTCAGTCAGGTTATCTTTTATAATACGATTTTAAAATTACAATAATGAAAGCAATTGTTGGAAACGTTTCATATATAAGTATTGATTGATAGTTAATATTTTTTTTAAATATAATTACGTAGAACGTACGAATCTAGTTAATAAATCAAGGACAAATGCGCGAAGGATTGATTTTACCGTAGGTAGGTAAAAACCTTTATTAACCTCTAATTGAATCTAAGGAGAACATATTTTAATATTTAGTCATTGTTATTGTTACATAAGTGTTAAAGCCGATCCTCTCTATAATATCGTGTCTTGATTCCGCTCGAGAATTTCGTCGATATCGTATTTGAAATAGGATTCCAGAGAAACTTGGCTGTTACGGATAGTATGAAAACATATCTTTGTACTGTGAACTGATATAGGAAAGATCAGCCCTTACGAATATCAGTGTTAAACATAAAATTTTATTAAGTGCCGAAGGTTGACCGTAATACTTCGGCGCCTTGCAAACAGGTAGGCGATTGTTAAAGATCGTACGTGGCATTTTAAACAACCCATAACAATAACGATGTGATTAGTTTGGAATACGTGACTGTATTACAAGAATTAATAAGCGTTTACGCAGTAGTTTAGTTTCATGGCAATTGTTCTAACAAGTTATTAAATATTACCGTTACCCGTATATAATGCTATGGGCAGGAATCGTCGTATCCATTGAATAGAAATTTTTTATAATGCCTTTTATTTCAAGCTGTATCGAATATTGTTTTACAGCGAAGACTAGGCCCTTCGATGTATGTGTTAACGTAAAATTATGTTAGATTGACTATCTCGCGAGATAAAATGTCGAAAGTTGTGAACTCAGCGTACTGCTTACAATTTAACGTATATTATTCGGTAGATTTAATCTATCAAAGCAACCTAAAATAATAATATATTGAATATTCTAAATGAAACAAGTAATCAAAAATGATTTTCAAAAATATCAAAATAAAAAAATCAGTAACGTAACAATATTTTCTCATCTCATCTCAATTTTACATTCGACAAACAATTTGACGGATTCACTTCGATAGATTACAATCTACCGAATAATAATTTTTTTTTTTTTAAATTTTTTTTTTTTTCCCCCCCTTGTCACATTACAATCTCGCCAGATAGATTACAATCATAAATTTTACGGTGACATATGCAAGTTAGACTTTATTTAACAAAGCATATAATAATATATTGAATATTCTAAATACAATAAAGATTTCGTAAATTTAATTTCTTTTAACTGTTTTCGGTTGGTGCTAAATATATTTTCAAGTGTTTAATTTTAAACTTATAAATTATTATTCTTAATATTTGGTGGTGTAGGACTGTACTGCACCAGTTTTTTAGTTAAATAAACAGGTTTTTTTTTTTTTATCCTGGCAAATATTATTACGCTTTCCGAGAAGAGGTATACTAGAAAGTCCATCAGCTACCTAGGCTTTACGAATTCGATATGCAGAAAATAGTATGTAGCCTATTGTGTTACGAATTTTAACAAATATACTTATTACTTGTCAAACATAAACATCGTACTAAATGTACAACCACTACACAGATCAAATAGAACATCGAACTATAACTCGACAAATACAATTTTATAGATCACGTAATAACCAAAACGTGAGGAATACGTGACAATCGTTTTTATACACGTATCTGCAATAATCGTGAAACCGGCGAACCCATGCTGACGTCAGCACCGAGCCCAATTTTATTGCGAGTTTATTACGAAGATCATGGTCAATAAATTGAATAATGTAAATGTTATTGTTCTCGCCATTGTCTTTAATAGGCTTTCATAATTGGTTTTTAAACGACGCATTGTTTTGTCTTTGTTTAGATGAATTTCCGCAGTCGGATTTTTGCAGAATCAAACTATTCGTAATAACAATATGTTATATTGTGTCTCACATTCTTTTTGATGACAAATTGACATCTCAATTACAACTTTAGTTGGGTATAGAACCGGGAATTTAATATCACAATGTTTGAAGTCACGTTTAGTCCTACATTTTTGTGTGCCTCGCAGTAGCGAGTAGCGACATAGTAATATCATGTCACTATTAATTAGAGTACAATTCTTTATACTTATAATTCAAT